TTCAATTTTCCAGGTGTTTTATTATCTGCATGTAAAACGGACGTGATCGTTTTTTCGTAAATAATCATTTCTTCTCCAAGAACTGGTCCGAAGCGTCCGAAAAATAAAATAATTTTAAGAACATTTATCACTCTCTAAATCTATGTCCAAGCAAAAATCACCTATGGATAAAATCGAGATACATTTTGTTTGTAATCGGACGATTCATGATTAGTTCTAATCTAGATTACTAGTTGGACAAGGAACTCTTGACAAGATGCGTCTGCAACTAGCAATAGTTAAATCGATCGACTATCACGCGATAAATCGATAGTACACTCTAAAAAAAAAGCGTAGTTTACTAAACCTTAAAGGATTTAGTAAGCGAGCTAAACCCCTTAAAAAACCATCAAAGGTTTTTTCGAAAGGTTTCTCATCGATCTTAAACCTTTAAAGGTTTTTAACAAGGTTTAATACGCTTACTAAACCCTCAACAGTTTTCCACGAGGGTGTACTAGAAAAAAAATTTCCGTTTTAAGTCAAAGGGTTTTTCATCTAGCAAGAAAAACCCTAAAGGTTTTGTTTGTTTTTTTTAAAACCCGGAAACATTTTTCCTAAACATTTAGTGTTCTTTTACTAAACCCTCAAAGGTTTTCCATAATTATAAACTCTCGAAAGGTTTTTTAAACGACTTGCTGAAAAAATCGTTATAAACTCTAAGGGTTTATAATCATTAAAACCTATAAGGTTTAGTAAAACGCTCTTAAGAGTTTAGGAAATAACCTTTAGAGTTTTGTTGCAGTCAAATGTTCTACATTTTTCCCGTTGTGCTCAATGAATGTTGGATCGCACATTCATGTGGAAGACTGCAGAATGCGTTTTAAACTCAAATTAAGTAGTATGCCTAACGAAGGCACTGTTCAGAGGTGCCTCGAAAAATGGGAATGAAATCAATTTTTTAAAAAGCGGTAAAGCTTCCGTAATTACGAAAAAAAGAAGTAAACAGGCAGAAAGGGAGAGTAAGAAAACTTGATCAATCCCTTTCTGCGCAAGCAGCTTTTCATGTGCTGTTTTCTCACTGTACTTATGTTTGACTAAGTAGCGTGGTACCTTCTCTGCATTTGTTGAGACATTTTTATCGGTTGTCTCTCCGTATCTTTTCTTTTTACATTGCGAAAAACATAAGTAAATAGTAGGCTACTAAACCTCTTTTTTAGGGGTTTAGTAAAATGCAATGACACGCTACCTCTTTCAGGTTCAGTAGGCTACTAAACCCTAAAATGGTTTTTTACTAAACTTTTGAAGCGGTAGCGTGTCATTGCATTTTACTAAATCCTTTGGGTTTAGTAAACGACGCTTTTTTTTTTAGTGTGTAGCAACTGACGAGAAATCTATCAATCGCTCAATTACTAGATTTCGACCGTCTTTACTAAATCCTTGCAGTCGAGTAAAGTCTAGTAATCTAGATGCATCGGGCGATACTAGATTTTTTGTTATGTTTGGATGAGTAAGAGAAAATTCTACGATCCTTCCTAATTATACACGAACTCTTTCTCTTATAGCATACAGCAGAAAGATTAAGGATTATTGTTACCCTCGATCTCAGTAACCACAAGATACTAAGTCAAACCCAATATACCATTAAATTCCTCGTTATGCTCTCTATAAAACCTGATAGATCACTTTTTAGTTCGCGTTACTTTTGAACTCGGACAGGGTGCTTTATTAATCTGTAGATACCGGTAGTTGTTGAGTTGGCGCTAAATTAGAATCTTTTTTTTTGTCTTTCGTGGCTGCGGCAAGGGACGGCTAAAAATGAAAAGTGGCTATTATAAAATTTTGAAAGCCCAATAAAGTCCATTGATCAAAATCTGAGATGCCGACTACGATGCTTGCAAGACCCTAAATGCCCAAGATAAATGTTATTTTTTCAAAATATGATAATTATTAATCGTCTGAAATTCGGTAGAACTAAAAAATCATCATAACCCGTTTATGTTAAGCAGACCCATGGTCTTAAGCAAGAGACAAATCAATTTCGTTTCGTTCAGGCTGAAACGTGTGTAGTATCAAACACAAAGTAAACATTAGTAACGCATGCATCAAAGAACTTATCATTTCGAAAATAAATGTATAAATTCACAATGCTTATACTACTACCAGATTAATTCCTTTAAAGAAAAAATTAAAAAAAGAGTGTATCCAGGGTAGTGGAGGATCGCTAATAGTAACAGTATTAGGAACTACTGCTAGATAGCTACGATTTTAAAAAATGTATATGTGTGTGTGTGTGTGTGTAAGTAAATGGACGATTACGAAATAATCTAATAAATAATTATTTTGTCTACGTAACTTATTAGATTTTAAACTTTTTAAGAGGTATAATGGTCTAAGTGAGAATTTGTATCAAACAAGAAGCGGAATTTCAATGGTGACTTGTAGGAGGAGCATGTATCTAACTTGCACAATCACATTTTATTATTACCTGTTGGGATATAAAATTCTACAAGCGAAAGTCGATATAATACATAAGTTTCTCTAATGACTTAGCGAACTAACCTTCATTTCCGTATATTTGTGATTATATTGATAACCACGAACATTGTGAAAAACGACGATAGATCTAAAGGAAGAAATAACATGCTAATTATATGTTCAATGATTGCGTATGGAGGTTATTGTGAAACAAACGACGTACGTGAAACATGAGCAAAAATCATCGAATTCCATCCATATTTTTGGTGCTATATAATTTTTTTTATTACTTGAATTTGATGCATGATCCATTTTAAAAGTATTTTCATCTCCACTATTTGCCGGAGCATTATCTTGAGCAGGAACAACTTGTGTTATATTTTGTTGGTCCGCACCGGTTACTGAACTCGCAACTGCTGGAGGAACTAAGTAAAAAAAAAAGTCAAATAAAAAAAGTTATTATATGAATGAATGAAAAACTATAAACATTTATTCACTCGACTATAAAAACCTCGTTCACTTTTGCTTTTTATTGATGATGCATCTTGTTTCGCGTCTTTTGTTTCAGGTTTTCCCAGAACTTTTCGGGTCTAAAGCGAATAAAAGTACACAGCGTCAAGATGTTGTTTGTCAATGGTGATCATCACTCCAACAGAACACAATTTTACAGATCCATAGTTTATTGGAATTACCTTATCTTGTCCTTTTTGTCCACCTTTGTCAGCTGACTTTTCTCGTTTAGGTTTAAGATTTTTCTGTGAATCTATCAGACTTTCTGACGCATCGTTCAACTGAAAATACGAATTTGTACCATAAATCGATTGCTTAATGTAAGCGATAAAAAATGATGAACGTACCTCACCGGCTACTTCGTGTGAAAGGCTCTCTTGTCTTATATTCCCAGCACTCGGACTCGTACCATCATCATCGAGTTGTTTCTTTTGCTCACCAGCTAGAAACGAATTTTCAATATCTCCATCTTCATCAACTTCGACGATATCGGGCACATCAATCGTTGAATGGGTCGCCGATCTACTCATCCGAGATGCAGGTGGCGCAGGTGTTGCAGTGCTAAAGATAAATATCATGATAAAATCGATTTTGTTTTTCACATATAGAAGTATCACATTTATATGTCTCGTCAATGGTATAAGCATACAGCAGAAAATACTCAATTATCTTCAACAATGCTTGTAGCTTTCAAGTACATTATTGCAAAACTCGAGTAAGCAGGTAATCTGTTTCATTTCTAATCAACAGTTAAGCAAAAAGAAGAATATATAAGCATAAAGCATATAAACTACTAAGCAAATAAAAGACAATAATTCCAAAAACATCCAAGTAGGTTCGAAAGAATTTGAATGTATATACAGTAACGACCAAAATCAATTATTTTAAAAGAATTTTTGATCATTTAACTTGTATATGCGGGCATTGAGACAGGTTTAGACAGGAAAACATAAAATTTTGCTGAGATAAAGATATAGCGTTTAGCAAAATATAAATTATATGCCTAACGGCGATGTAGCGTAAACATAAATTTAGCATAAGAAGGGTAATGAAAGAGGTCTGATATTTCATACATGAGACAACCGTCAACTAATTGAAGTCGAATTGTTGGTTTTCTAAAATAAAGAGTGATCATATTCGAAATATGAGAATGCAACACAATAGTTTATGAAGGAAATCTAACTAGAAAGATAAATTATAGCGTTAGTTACTCTTACATGCTGAGTGCACTTGACAGTGGATAACTGATATATGGAGAGGTTATTTCAATAAAACGATCGGGTTTTGGTTCTTGTTGTGCTAAAACAAAAAATATCACTTAAATAATATGTGGCGAGGAAACATCTCTGGGCGATTACATTCTACAGGTAGGATCGATGATTGTAAAAAAACCAAACAGGATTCTGGCTTATGAATATTGATCACAGAACTATGAATGAATCCTATTACTCATAGAGATAATGATACCCTAACTTTTGTCTCCGAATAAAATAAGCCTAAGAACTGAAAACTATAGGGTTTATAGAACTAGTTAGTCACAATATTCATTCCAAAAATTATGAAAAGACACTGTGCATTTACTATTTAGTACTATTTCTTCCAAAACTGTGATTCATAGCTCTACAATCAGTGCGCATAGGCTTTTTCTTGCATTCATCGACCCTATTAAAAAAATATAAGCCAAAATGGAGTGCATCATCTAGAAATATTTCTTCGTAAGCTAAATCAATCGAAAGCAAGAATATGCTTACTCCTTGGCTCTGCATTCGGTAATACTTTCGGTTTTCTGGGTCGTATTTTCTTCCATGCTGGTATGAACTCGGGAGACGGCGGTGGATCCAGGGGGATATCTCTAATGCATGTTAGCCATACAGGATTTGAAAACATATCATTTAAATTATATCGACGAAGTTTTTCACTACGATCTGCTGTTTCTCCATAGGAACTAACTCGACTTGGTTGAAGATGTGAGAAATTAGCAAATAGAACCATTTTGGGTGCCTCCGGTGTTATTTGATCTTCGCTTAAAGTATCATCGGTTCCGCGCCCACCTTTTTTGTCTTTAGTATCCTTTCCTGGAGCAGCAGTAACCGTCTTCTTATCACCACCCGCCCTACTCTCTTTTCCCGTAGCTGATTTTGTTTGATCTTTGCCTCCGCCAGCAGCAACACCCGCTTTTTTTGCACTTTTCTCATCCGATTTTTTTGTCAAATTTTCCGTCATCGTTTCATCGTTTCTGTCAAACGGATCCTAAAAATATGTAAGAAGTTGGGTTTTTTTGTTGAACTTTTTAAAAGCTACCTTCATCATTGCCGGAGATTCAGTAAAAATATCTGCTACTTTCCTGATCCTCTGAGCATAAACTTATGCATATGAGAAATGCGTATGCTTACATTTGATGTTGCTAAAATTCCATCTTCTGCCGTATCGATTTTTGAATCTGGCCATCTATATAGTGGGATCGGACCTTGAAATGATGATTGTTCATTCGACTTTCTATCTTCGCCATCAACTAATTTATTTGAACGATCATTGCGAAGAAATTTCCAAACTTTTTCAGCATGACTGTATCTGAAAAGTGTAAGTAAATCGTGTCAATATCGAAAAACTTCAAAATCACCGGCCATTTACTTGAGTGGAATAGGTTCAGGCACCCAACCGCTGAGACAGTGTATGATGCTTGTTTCGTTATATTCTGGAAATCCGGTCGTATGATTATAGCTAAAAGGAAAGCAATAACTTTTATTAAACTGACAAATGAAAATGGCAAATAAATTTACTCTAGAACAACGATTTTTAAAAGGGCTTTTGATAGCAACATTGGCCATAATTCGTAACCCAATGATGTTTGAGGTAAAAGTGGACGATTTTTACTGTCAAATGGAATGGTGTCGTCAACAATTATTTTACGCCAACAGCCCTGATTAACAACGAAACAAAATATTCTTTCTATAAAACAAACAGATAGTTTAAAATGCCAATCCTTACAAGAAAAAATAATCGAACAACATATTTTCCAGCCGGATTATAGGGTGTTACGAATGGTTGTTTTGATACTTTATTAATTGCATAAATATGCTCCCATGGCCTCCACGTACGTCCAGACAGAAAAGCCGGGTTCATTTCGCCGCTATCCGGCGTCACTGATTTTCGTTCTTTTCGACAAATGTCCCATAAAGCTGTTATTTGACTAATTATATTACGCATTGTCTAAGTGTGAAAAAGAAACATGAAAAATATGAATTGTAACAATGTTGATGATGATTACTTCACTATAATGTAAATGTTCATTTGGCGTAACTAAATCAAAATTTTGCATACCAAGATCGGGTTCAACAATCACTGGCGTCTATAAAGTGAATGAAATATTTATCGTCACAAATAAAGTGGGTAAAGTATGTACAAATACCTTTTCACCCATCACATCGACTGGTCGTTTCCAGTGTTCGACTTTTAACGATGGTGGTAATTCAATTTTACCTTCTGGATCCTCGAAACCATGTGTACCCTTAAATGTACAAGTATTCAACTTTAGATTCTTTAAATTTAAAAATATACAAGTTTTACAGAAGAACTTGCTGATTTTGTATCCGTGCTGGCTTTGACTGCTGTTTCTTTCTTTTTTCCCACATCCCACGACTCTGCATTCACATCAGCGTCATTCCATTCTGGCCACAACGGAGCTAATTTCGTTTTTTTAATATCAATTGATCTATAAAATTTGAACGAGATGTTAAATACGTGGTAAAATAACACTTGCTGTATGAGCAAACCTGAGGTGTTCAGTTTTAGTGTGACCAATTTTAGATGGAGTTATGTTTGACATGAACTTTTACATGAATAAATATAATCTAATATGAAGACTTTTTTTTGATATTCAACTTAGACAGAAGTAAACCTGCAGTTCCATTCTACTTGTATGACACTCAGCAACACCTTCATAAAAGTATTAGCCTGTACTCTCTATGACGATAGATGACGCAAGTAGCTAATATTATGGTAATGAACGCCATTTATTCACAAACAGGGTTGTTAAACTTGTCTGATTTTTTATAATTTATGATATATTATTTATGATTTCATTTCTATCTTTAGACTTTTGAGGTGGCAACCCTAGAGAATGTGTTTGATGTAAGTAATTGATCACTTGCCCAGTACTTAGGAAGTACCTGACACGTTTCCTTACTTGCTAAACGTTTGAACAAGAACCTGGCAAGTGATTTTACTTCCCAAGTTCCTCTCTAAGAACTCGTCAAGTATTGTCACTTTATTCGCTTCAGCCAAGTACTTGGAGGAGTCAATCACTCTTTTGTTTTGCATTGACAAGTTGTATATAACAAAAAATCTCAACAAGTATAACTTGGAAAATAAAGGAGGGAGCTCAGTTTGGTCAGAAATCGGGACCCCCTCTGTTTTTTTTGCTTATTTTGACTAGACTTTATAGAAAAGACATTTTTACACACCCTGCGGTTATTCTTTGGGAAAACAAGGTCGAAATACGTTTTTAATGTGATTATTTTGAGATTCCATCAGGGGATGTCGTTGTTAGAACAAATAATATTTTTGAAAAATAGGTTTCACACAAACCTTGATATGAAAAAATAGCCAGTGAAAAACTGAATAAAATAGTCTATGAACAATCCTTATACATCATTTCCATAGGAAGAAATTATTTTTACAAGAGATAAATTGTACCTATAAATTTCACCCTCACATATGCAAACGAGGATCCAGCTTGTGTTTGATGTAGAAAAATAACCAACAACAAAATGGTACATGAACCGTAGTTACGTACCATATTATTAAGGAGAAATTGTTTATTTTCAAGCATCCCCTATCTAGTGACCATGCTTGAGTGATCATATTTTCCCATTTTCTTCCATAAGCAAGAGAGGATCTAACTAGCCTTCAGTATAGGAAAATAGCTCTTGAAAAGCTGTA